ATGGCGAGCCCCTCCCTCTCTCTCCCGTCCTCCAGACATCAATGAACAGTTCTGCGCACCCCCTCCCCATGGCTCCAGGGATATAACATGAAACAGCCAGCAGCCCTTCTTCAAGGGTTCATCATCTATTAGGGAAAGAAAGAAAGTCAGTTGCCACGGAGTCCATTCTGACTCATGGCGACCCCGTGTCAGTGTAGAACCGCGCTCCCTAAGGTTTTCAATGCCTGGTATTTCGGAAGTGCACCGCCAGGCCTTCCCTGGCACCCCTGGGTGGACTCGAGCCTCCCACCTTTCGGTTTGTACCACCCTGGGACCCTAAAAGCAAATGATTCTCATACATTTCAATAGGTATTTTCACAGAATTAGGTTTAAGGGTTATAGAAATTGAGGTGAAGGGGCAAAACAGTCTGCCTGGGATAATGAAAGTGATGGTTAAAAGAGGGGATATTTGATTTGGGCATTGGAGGATGTATAGGAGTTTGCAGGCTTGGACCTCCACAATCCAGTGGGACCCACCCCAGGACAAACCCTTACGTTCTCAGTGTAGGTTACTAAGGAGCCAGTGAACCTATCTGCTTTCCCCTCCTCTTCCGCTGCTGCTCCGGTCATCTGCAGTCTGCCAGGACAACAGTCCTTAAAAAACACTTTTTCCCCATGACAGCCCCAGCTCAAGAACCTATCAAACCAAAACCAGACCACTGCCATCGAATCGACTCCGACTCATAGCGCCCCTACAGGACAGAGTAGAACTGCCCCGAAAATCGTAAAGAAGCAGACGGCCTCATCTTTTTCCTACAGAGCAGCTGGAGAGCTGGAACCCCTGACCTTTTGGTTACCAGCCCAACGCTTTAACCACAGTGCCACCAAAGCTCAAGAACCCACCATGGACCTTCAATTCTAAGATCAAATGTAAACTCGAATGTTCACTGAAAGACCTCTCCCCTCCACCCCACGGACCCTCCCATCCCTCTGAAGCCTCCCAGTGGTTTTTCTCTTCTAAGGGAGCTAATGACCCAGCGCTCTCCAGCCCTGATCCCTTTCCTCTGTGTTGTCACATGCCCCTTCTGCCACCTGGACCATCGACCCTGGACACGTCCTCTGACCCATCCCACTCCAGCTTCTCTCTCCCTGGGGCAACAGTCACTTTGACCTTGTTGGAGCCTTGGACCCCGGAAAGAGCCCCGGGGCGGGAGTCTGCTCCTCACTGAGCCAATGACCTCAGATGGGCTTCTACTCTCTGGGCCTCAGTTTCCTTATCTGGACCCCGAAGCCTCTGGGGAACTGCCCACCTTCCCAGCCTCCTGATATCCTAGCAAGTCCCCCTTGTTTATTCAGACATCTCGGCAGCTCCCAAGACAGCCTGGGGAAGAAAGAGAAAGGAACCCTCAAGGCATCCCAAAAGACATGCCAAATCTGACAGGCTAAACAGACATCCTCATAAATGAGTCCCTCAGGACCGGCTCGGAGCGGGTTCTGCTCCTAATTTAGATACGAGCCTAACACGGGCACTTATCTGGCTTTCTGGCCCAGAGTCTTCAGAGCTAGATGCTTGGAGAGGCAGGTCTACTGACAACCATTAACAGTGAGAGCTGTTGGCCGCCAGGAGGAGGGAAGGAGCCATACTAGGCACAACACTTAGGGGCTCACACGGGGCCCACACCTCCACTACCCTAAGGCAGACCTGGCGGCAGCGTCCTCCAGAGATCAGAGTCCCTTCTGCAGTCTGCAGCTAAGGTCGGTCAGTGTGTGTGGACATGTGGACACTTGAGTCTCGTTAGAAACCGCTACTGCTCAGCTGTAATCGCTTTCCTTCCTTCAATTCATCACTTCCACTGTGCGCCCCCGTCCACCGTACAGCCTGACTGCTCATCACTCCAATAATGGAGCCAAACGCAGCTCCTGTGCTTCCAGAACACGGGTTCTTTCCACACCCATCCTCACGGCCTCTGCTCCCCTGCTGAGAAAACCTGCCTTCTCTGCCCCTTCTCCACACTGACATTTGCTTTGCTCTGGAATCGTGCTTAGCTGTTCTCTGTGTATGCACACTCCTGAAGGGCGAGGACCACGTCCAGCTGACCTTGCTCAGGCTGACCTACTTCTCCAAAACCTGGTGGGGCGTCCCCCACCCCCAAGGCAGCTCCTTCCAGGCTTCCTGCCTTGTTCATCCATTTGCTGAAAAGAGAGGAGGCCCTTCCCAGAGAAGGGGGTGCCAGGGCAAACCCACTGCCCCATGACCCAGGAAGGAAAGACGACTGGGACCCTGCTCCCCCATGCCAGCAATGGGAGCCGTGAGGGCCTGTGTGCCCGGTCCCCACCCCCTGCCACCTGGCACTCACGGAACATGGTCATGAACTGCTTGGGGTTCAGGTTCCAGTAGCCCCAGTTGGTGCGGTAGCCATGCAACGTGGCATACTCCTCGTGGTTGTACGCAGGTTCTGTCCCAAAGGTGTCAATGACTCGGATTCTGCACCTGCCCCCCAGGGACCAAGACCAGGGTCAGCTGTGTGGCCCAGAGCTGGGGTCCTCAGCAGTGGCTGGTTAGGGTAGCACAGTGTGTGGTCAAGCTTGGGCTTGGACACAGCGTGGCTGTGTGACCACAGGCAGGTGTCTTAACCTCTCTGAGTCAGCTTCCCCATCTGTCAAGTGAGGACAACCACAGCCCGGCTGTCTGAGGGACACAAGGAAGTGCTTTGCCCAGAGTCCGAGGTTAGTGCTCTGAAACTGTCAGCCATTACTGCCACATCAAAGGAAGGGGGCACTGCCTGGAGTGGGTCCGTGCACCAGTGCCCCAGCGTCACCCGCGCAACCTGAACTCTTCTGGGCAGGGAGTTCGCTGGGGCCACGGCCCTGCTGCCCTCAAGCCTGACACCTAGGCTGTGCCTGCCTGGAGGGTCCACATCAGGAGGGCAGGGCCTCACAGGGACCAGCAGCTGCCCCGGGGTCCAGTCTGGGAAGGCGGAGCCTCAAGGCCTGCCTGGCAAGGTGGCCACTTCAAGGGTGGAACCTCCCAGCTCGGCTGGAGGCTCAGTCCTTCCCTGCCCACCCTTCTCCCTGCTGTCCCCATCGCCTTTTGGGGGCAGAGGTTTCAAGCTCAAAGCCCCGGGGGGCCTTGTGCCCAGGGGATCAGCCAATAGTGGGGCCAACCAGACTCTGAGGATGCTCTGGGGCGCCCCCCACTCCCCTGGGAGTGAGACCAGTCACCCCCACTACAAGCTCCCTCACCCCTGCCTCCTTGCTGGTGACCCAGAATCACTCGCAGACTGCTGAGACAGGGATTATCCTTCCAGAGAGGGGCAGGGGTGGGGTGGAGGAGCAGAGTGCCGGGTGCACAGAGAACCACATTAATAATAAAAGCAATAACCCCGTCTGTCCCTTTCCTCCCCAATAAAATCATGTGGGATAGTCAATGAGGCAGGAGCGCAGGTAATAACCAGCCAGGCTCTCTGCTGTATTAAACCCGCACCCTGCTGGCTGCAGAGACGGGCGATGCTGGCCACCCCCAGGGGAAGGGAGGGGCAGGGGGAGGGGAGGCTGAGCCACCCCCACTGAGATCCCACAGCACAGCTCACAGCCCTGGGTGGTGTCCCGCCCTCATCTGTCCCTCCCTCCCTGCAATTCCTCTGTCCCTGATCTGGGTCACTTCTGCCCCGTCCTGGGCCAGCCATAAGAGGGCAGGTGGGTTATTCACCATTATCCTGTTAGCCAGGGGGCAGGGCGTGTCCAAGAAGGAAAGTGAGGGGATGGGGCGAGGGGCAGAAGGTGCGGGAGCGTTCACCCCACTGCAGAACAGGGGACACTGTCACTGCCCACCCGAGGACCAGCTGGCAGCCGGGAGGCGGGACAGAGGCTGGGCAGCTGTGGGCACTCCCCTCCCCTGCTCACCGGTACTTCTTGAAGGACGGGCCCATGTACTGCTTCATCTGCTGCAGGCCATGGTAGTCAGTGTAGATGAGGTCAAAAGGCAGGGGCGCGGTGAGCGGGCAGTTCCCCCGGCCTGGCGGCACCCCTAAATTACTGAGAGAGGAAACCCTTCAGAGTCTGAGCCACGGGTGGGACTCCAGACCCCAGAACCAAACCCACTGCCATCGAGTTGATTCCGATTCATAGCAACCCTCATTGGGTTTCCAAGGCAGTAAATCTTTACAGAAGTAGATTGCTCCATCTTCCTTCCGTGGGGCGGCTGGTGGGTTTGAACCGCCAACCTTCTGGTTAGCAGTCAAATGCCTTAGGCACTGCACCACCTGAGCTCCTTGGTGGGACCCCAGGTGGCCAGAAACCCACCTTCCCAACTGGCCTTGCACGTGGGGGGCACTGGGTTCCGATAGCCCAGGATGAACTCTGCGGGGTCACAGGAAAGGTCAGTGGTTGGGGCATGAGCACTGGCAGGCCCTTGGGACGGAGGTGGCCAGGGCCGCTGCGCACAGTGGTGCAGGTTTTTCACTGCACAAGGGAGTCTGGTGATGGGTGAGTGGGACAAGACCCAGCCTGGCCATCCAGCCAGGCCGTCAGCCTGTGTCAGAGAACCCAGCAAGCAAGGTAAACACAGGCTTACTTGTGCTTACTTACTAATCTGTAGTGAACATGTCACATTGTTTCACCACATCAAAGATTCTACTTCTGCATATGGCTGGCACCTGTCTCCCTCCCAACCCCAGGGCACCTTCCTACAGACCCAAAGCCTCTTTTCCAATTTAGAGTCCCTGACAGGACAGAGAACCCACTATGCAAGGAAAGCTTGGGCTCACCTTGCTTACTGGGTAACTGGCCCCTGCGTGGACCTGGAGGGGGCTGCACCTGCCCAAAGGAAGGGGTGCCTGTTGCAGTTCCACAAACAGGCCCCTGCAGGGCCGTGTCCGCCCAGAGGGGGCGCCGTTCTCTCATCGCCACACAGTCCATCAATGACTGCCCCCTGTGGTCCTCAGCAGCCTGGGCGTTTGAAGCCGATGGGTTCCCAATCCCCCTGCCGCAAAAGAGCCCACTCCTGCTATGCTGAGTGGTCCCCCTCACCCTGCGGCCATTGGGCAGCTGGCTCCTGTACGTCTCTGTGGACAGACTCCCCACTACACCTAGCAGGCAACAGTAGGAAGGATGAGTGGGGCCCAGTGTCCCTACTGGACAGAAGCGGGGGGGGCAGGGGTTGAGGTTCAACTCTGCTATCTTCCTACTACTTGGACCAGTCCTTTAAAAGCTCCAAGTAAAACGAGAACAAAGATTCTACCCCCAGCTCTGGCACCAAACCAAAACGAAACCTGTTGCTCTCACGTCGACTCTTAACTCGTAGTGACCCTACAGGACAGAGTAGAATTGCCCCATAGGGTTTCCAAGGCTGTAATCTTCATTAGAAGGAGACTGCCACATCTTTCTCCCACGGAGCCACTGGTGGGTTTGAACCAGACCTTTCAGTTGGCAGTGAGTGCTTAACCACTGTGCCACCAGGACTCCTTCGGCACTGACATCGTGATCAGCAAACGCGAGTCCAACCTGCTGGCTACTCCACTCTCCAAGCCACTGTTTCTGGGTGGGTTAGAGACAGGGGCTGGGAGTCCCTGGCTGGTGCCAACAGTTAATGCCCTTGGCTGCTAACTGGAAACTTGGTGGTTCTGGTCCACCAGGGACACCTTGGAAGAAAGTTCTGGTGATCTACTTCTGAAAAATGAGCCACCAAAAACTCCATGGAGCGCAGTCGGACCCTGGCGCTCACGGGCTGCCGTAAGTGGAGCTGGTTCCATGGCAACTGGTCCTAGAGATGGGGCTGGGAAGCCTTGGACAGAGCTGGGCCTCGGCCCACACTCACACCTGACCACAGCCAGGTAGGGTGGGTGCGCGGCCAACACAGACATCTCTGGAACAGCCTGTCTCTAACCTTGGGGCCCTGCAGGCCGGAAGCACTTGGGGGCTCATGCCTACACGTGCCCAGTGTCCCCTGCTTCTCCCTGCCTGCTGGGTCACCTTCACATTGACTTTCATCCGGACAGGGCTGCCTCTGTGACCTGGAGGACTGAGCTTGGTCAGAGCAGGGATGGGGCCCTGTGCCGGGAAGTGGCCTGGCACCCCGATGGCCAGAGCCTCTGGGCCCTTGAATGGGGGCCTGAAGGACCCGGACACAGCCTCTGGCCTCCCCCAGAACCACCCAGCCAGCCATCCAGGGCATCTGGAAAAGAGCTCAAAGCTCCTACCCTGGCAAATGCAGCTGCCAATGCAAACGCCATCACCCTGCCCCTCGCTCCCCGCCCCCACTAAGGACACACCCCTGCCCCGCCCCGCCCAGCCCGACTCCTCCTCGGCTTCTGCGGGGAGGACCGGGCCACTCACTCAACAAGTGGGTCTGAGCAGCCCGGCCAGGCCCAGGCTGAAGGGGCTGAGCCGGCCAGGGGAGGAAGCACAGGGCTCGGCCCAGCCGGACACACGCCCTCTGGGAAGACCTCCCAACTGATCCCACTTAACAAACACTCCATGAGCCCATCTGGGCACCAGGGACAGGGAGACATGTCAGATGTAGCCCCAACCCCGGGAGCTCACAGTCTGGTAGGAGCAGGAA